GGGGGGGGCTACCACGCCCTAGCGGCGTCCATCAGGCGTCCTATACCTGTCCCGCAGCAGCTCCTCGCTCTGACCGGGCGGCTGCAGCCACCGCCACAAAGTACGGACGGCCACCACCTCGCGGGGTGTCGCGTCGAGAAGTCGCGGGAAGGTTGTTCCGAAACAACGCAAGTTTGGTTGGGCTGGACGCTGGACACAGAACTATGGGCTGCATGAGATTGACCCCGGGAGGAGAAGCGGGGGTGGGAGATCTAGTCGAAGCAGCACGAAATGGTCGAATACGTCGCGAGAGTCAGCATTTGGATGCAAATAAGCCACCGTCACTTTGCGCCGCTTTGCGCCGCTTTGCGCCGCTTTGCGCCGCTTTGCGCCGCTTTGCGCCGTTATAGAGTAGGCAACCCACTTGGCAATGTCAGGGCAGCAGCAGCCATATTCGAATAGTAGCGTGAGTGCGATGCGAAATTGACCACATTGACAACATGTCATGATCGCACCAGCAGAGCGGCTGCTCCGGCCTCGTCCGCCAGTGTGAAGGGAGCCGTCGCAGTGACCACCGCGTGTCGTTTAGCTGGACCGCCCCACTCGGTCAGGGTCCCGGCCGTGCAGGCCGTGCAGGCGGTGCAGTGTACAGCGCCTCTCCCGGGGGCGCGAGCAGAGCAACGGGCTGAGAGCGCCGCAAGGTCCGGCGAAATGCGTCGGTCATTATTGACGCGTCGAGGTAAAGTGCGACCCGCACGCGGGGCCTGGCCTGGCGCCCGTCATTAGAAACGCATCACACGGCCGTCACTGTGAAAACGAGTATGGGACTTAAGCATGTGAGCCAGTGGGTGTTCTACTTTAGCTGACGTGAAGCACTGGTTGCTCTACTTTAGCTAATGTGAGCCAATGGTTGTTCTACTTTAACTAATATGTGAGGCTCTGGTTTGAGCTCTACAGGGTGGTCCACAGACCCTTTCCTTTATTTTGCTTATGCTGTACCGCATGCAGGCGTGGCGGGCGGGCTTGCCTACCGTCGCCAACCGCGGCGCCTTATGGCCCCGTGCGAGTATGCGCCCGCACGCCTGCACGCGGTACAGTATAAGCAAAATAAAGGAAGAAGGGGTCTCTGGACCACCCTAAATGTGAGGCACTGGTTGTTCTACATTAGCTAATGTAAGGCACCGCGCCCCACATTAGCTGTCAGTCTGAAAATGCACGCTAGAATCCACTGAAATCGACCACCCTGGTCGAGTGCACCAGCGTGGGGGCACACACGGTGCCCGCCCCGCCTCCCTCCCCGCCTGGCGCAGCCGAGTGGCCGGGTGATGCAGTTGAGAAACAACGCAATGCGTACCGTGCTCTCCAAGTTTACGGATACGAATTACACCACGCCCGACCTGCGCCGCGCTGCGTGCGAGGTGAGCGCCCGGCCTGCACACCGTACCGTGAAAACGAAGGGGGTGATGACGGCGCGGCGTCGGGCGGGGCGGGGCGGGGCGGGGCGTTGGAGCTTGGGCGCGCTTATTGGTTTCCAGCTGCCTCCGTCCGCCGCCCGCGCCGCACTTCTTTGCACCGGCCGAGGCGGGCGGTCAGCGTGTAATAGGCTATTCGGAAAATAGAAAGGACGGCGAAAAGAACAACTAGAGTCGCGCTGACGGGGACGTGCACAGCGGTGCACGGGCACGGCTCGCACAACTTGCCTACCTTACAGGCAATTGGATTACCTCTCCCTTCCATACAACTTACCCTGATACGAAATACACGTTTGGGATCGCCCAGAAAGTACGTCCATTTTCCTCAGATTCATTCGGCACATTACAGGGGCTCGGCGCCTGCGAGACTCAAGGTAGGCCACCCCGCTGTACACACACGCCCTGCAGGCAAGATGTGGCCTACCCACCAGGCGCTCTGAGCGCTTGCAGGAGCTTAACGCGAAAGGTTCGCGACGACGAATGACGGACGGACTTTCTGGAGGATGATCCCTTATTTTCACGGCTGTTATCCTTTCAGCGAGTTGAGGCAGTCGCCCAGGTCGCTCCGAGTCAGTGGGTCACGGTGACGGCAGGGAAGTGGACAGTGTGCAGTAGTAGGATGCAGTCGAGACGATTGGTTGCGCTCTCGTTCGCGCGGCTTTGTTTATTGAGCAGGCTCGCAGGCTCAGCCTCAGTTAAAGGGCGGCGGGGCGGGGCGGG